CTCTGCTCATCTCGCCGGCGTTGCCACTCTGCATCATCAGCCTCCTTCTGGTCTCGCTCTGCCATCCGCTGCACCTGGGCGTCCCTCAGCTTCCTATTCTCTTCAAGAATAGCACGCATCTCATCTTGTAGTTGCTCGTAGCGTTTCGTGTCCTCATTCTTCAACCTCTTCTGTGCGTCGGCGTATGCCTGGCTCTTGCGCTGGTGTTTCATGGTCCACCAAAAGCGCTCCCGCTTGGACTCGTCACGCCACGCCTCCAGGTACTCGGCCCTCTTCTGGTTAAAAATGCGCACAACATCTGGTATATGTCTGGTGCGGAGCAGCGTGAGGAAAGACGCGAAATCAATGGCGTCCGAGCTGCTCCGAAGGTCCCATTCAGGGCAGTTTGTGTCCGCAATACGGTGAATAACTTTAATAGCCTGTTCAGGAGGGAGTCAACAATCGACGACGCCGTCGAGGAACTGGTGCACATACAGGGTCTTTCCTTATATCTTCCAGCCGCGTAGGGTCCGGGGTTGGGACTTGTTCAGCCCAACCACATAGGAGCCTGCCCTTCGTCCCAACGGTGGCGATGGCGAAGACTGGCACATCAAACATGCCCATCGTCTCATAATATTTGGTGCCGGAAGAGACGTAGACCCGTGCTTGATTCAATCCCTGAAGAGGATGAATGCGACCGTGTTTGTACTCGCAGTACAAGATTGGTAAATAGACGGCTGCGCGCGGTGTCAGTAGAGCTTCACAGTGATACACATTGAAACCTACACTTCCACTCCCCGGCTTGGGGTGAGCCAGTAGCCGCATGGTCCATTTTCGGACCGGAGACTGCATCAGTAGGTGTCAGGCTGGGCGTCTTCTGAGACGGGGCACTGACAGCCATTGAAAGGCTGGCGTTTGCCAAGGGCACTTGCCCAGCCTGAGCATCAGATGATGAGTCAGTAGTGGCACCTTGGGGAATGTCGCCTGCTGAGGACACGTTCAATCCCTTGAAGTAAGACAACGCAATATAAACAAACCGTCGGCGAATAATGCCGCAGGCTTAATCGCATGCGTGAACCTGCGAATCTCCTGAGCTAGCAGCGGCCCGGAATCTCGCAATGGTTCATTCTCTCGGGATGTGATATCAATGGTATCCTCTTCCTTCAAGGCTTCCTTTGGATCATGTGACTTGGAGGCATCCACAATCCATGAACTGAGTATCTGATCTTTGAGATGGTGGTCCAAATCCTCAAAGACATTCGGAATCTCGGCGAACACTATACCATCGCAGATGGCATAGTCAAAGTCGTGCTGGAGCGTACGCGAATAAAGCGCTTCCAGTTTCGCCGCCCGGTTGAGATACATAGACATCCCAGCTATCCGCCACTTTCGGTCTTGAAGGAGATTCCGATCCGCGCGAGCACAAAAATCCTGCATTGAGGAAGAAAAGTCATCCACCAAGTTGCTGATTAAATCGCCATCCCGACCGGGCAGGAATTCTAACGAGGGGAGCTTGAAGTCAAAAGAAGGGTAGGAGTCAGCGCTCTCATATACGCGCGCGAAAGTGAAGTAATGGTCATGCCGTATTGCACATGTCTTCTTCAAGTTCTTGTTGTCCAGATCGCTGCAGATCACGTCGAACAGAGTGTTTCGAGAAAGCGGGGTGAACCGCTCCAGACTATAGCAACCAAATTGAAGTCAGAAAGGCTACCGCACGATGAAACTAACACTTGCCGACTGTGAATGTGATGTCCCAACTCTGCCTCAGCAGTGATAGGGACTGGGGCCCGGCCGCTTAGATAACCACTAATGATACTATCCCACTGTTGCCTGCACTCAACTTCGTTCAAATCAGGCCATGGTCCCGCGCCGCTCGGGGTCCGTCCCGACTGAAACAGTGTATTGGGTAGTCGTGACATGAGAAGACTTCGAGCGGTTGCCGACTGGTCGTCATCGAGGGGGTGCAGGAGATCGAAATTACAATATGCCCGGAGAGCTTGCTGAAGGGCCAGTTCGCTATGATATTGGTACCAGACATGCGTATGCTCTGCCTGATAGGAGGTTGCACCTCAATATGAACGTACACGAGCAAGCCAAGGTCGGGAACTCACGTTGAGTGTGTGAAAAACACCAGTACTTTCTTTGGTGTCGTATATGAGGCATTTTCTCTCGTGGTCGTCGTTTCGGATTATCTCCTCCGCCGAGGTCAAGCTCACGGTCAGGAGCGGCTGCAGCAAAGGTCAGCAGTGTCGACACAGGTGGTCCTGGACATACATGCACAGGGCATAATCTGGGAAGGAGAACCTTCTGCATGATGTTATACAAGACTTGGGGGATGAAGGACGCAGGTTGGTACACGGGCGGGTACGCAGCAGACGCGATACAGCGGTCGACATAAATCTCTGTTGGACGATCACATGTAACATCTCGAGCATCCTTGGTAGCGCTGCTAACGTATCAGGGAAAGGACTTCGCTAAGACATGATGCAAACTCGCCTGGAGGCACTCTTCGCTCGAGCATAGCTGAATGCCAAACAGTCAGAAGGACCGGCGAGGGCCGTACTGCATGCCTAGTACGCACGTATTAATGGGTGTTTCACTGAGGGGACATGAGAGCCAAGCAGCATAAGAGACAGAAAGCGCGTACGCAAGTTGCTTCTTTCGGAGCTCATTATACCGATCTTGCAAGCACTTGTTTGCCCAAAAGTCGGCGGCCACATCTTCAGGACCCGAGCTGGGGAACTTGTTAGACTATTGGGCATGTGCAAACAAAGATGGAAAAAATATACTGCAACGAGGGAGAAGGTGCTTGGCTGTCAGCATATCAATACATAGTCGTGATCAGCTTGATCACCATCTGACGTGCCTTCCTGTAGTCCTCCTTAGACGACGTGAGTCTTTGAACAGGTAAGTCAGAGAATGGCTCACCCTCTTTGCGAGGACTGGCTCCTGCTTCTCATCCTGCAACCAGTGATGAGCGACAGAAAAGGCGCGAAGTGTGAATAAGACTGACGGAGGCCCCGAGGGCTGGTCGAAGATGGGGTGTGGTGATCTGTCCGCACCTTCTGCAACCCTGCAGACATCATATAGTTTGGGGCACGGATCGGTGCGAGCGGCACTCACGTGCAACTGGCGAGCCAACGCCGCACACGCTGATCAGTAATCAAGGTCGGGTCGCACCCTTCAACATATCCGTCCTCCGCGATAAGATCTATTCGCCAGGACCTTGGGTCCCCTATTGATAAGCGCCGATACGTCTCCGGGGCATGTGTTTGCGCCGTGGACGCGCAAGCCGTTAGCGCCCCCCGAAGAGTGGCAAGGAACAGGGCATGCACCCAGGCCGAATGCATGTCAGACAGATCGAATACACCAAGGCCGTGGACCGCCCGGTAAGTCGTGGGATCAGCATGAGCTACGTGAACCTGAGACTATGCTCGAAATTGCAGCATCGCCCAGGAGAGAGAAGCAGGTAACTCACGCATGAATGCGAAATATCATCTTCCAGCCACGCAAGAACCAGCTGAATTGTACACTCGTCCGAGGAGAAAGCAAATCCGGCGAGCACATCGCGAACACCAAAGACGTCGCGTTGCATGAGCGCACTGCACATAGCGCTGTAGATCTCAGCCTCTTCTGCAACGCATACCAGCGCAAATGGCACTTGATCATGCACGGGACAGGGTAAAAGCAGGTGCGCGGCACCGAAAGGCTGGTGCTCGCCGTCGGAGCCAATGGTGTAGTACTCATTCGAGCACGAATCACGGCTGGCCAAGGAGTCTCGACTGGCCACGGAGACCTCTCCGGAGCTGCCAATACTTTCCTCATTCAATTCATGCATCCCAGAAGATCGATGACACTTCCTTGTTCCCTTCTCGTGTTCTTCTTGGGTAGTCACGACTGGGGGAGACGAAGTGGGCACATCTTGTACCAAGGGCGAACCGCCGGTCAACGAGACCGGGGTTGTCAGGAAGGTGGCCCGACCATGGTGTGGAAGAAACCTTGCGACAGAAGAGACGTACGACTCACAGGGATACACGGCTCGTGCGTAGGAAGATTCAAAACTGCCAGATAATCAGCTGTGCAATCAGGAGGCTTTCAAAGCACGAACTGCATATGTGACCCTGGCAACATTTCGAGAAGAGCCTCTGTAGCGAACGGACCGACGATCGCAGTTCGAGGGTCTTTTCCCAATTGGGGCGCACAATGCTCAGCCTCGAGAAGAAGAAGCAGGCGCTCGGAAACCTTCCACGCAGTGCGCATAAGCGCTTCCCGCTCATCTAGTGATAACTGTTCTTGAAATTAGCGACTGTAGACACGATTACAGGGTACGACAGAATACGTATCGGTCGAACTCACCTCGCGAAGAATTATATCCTGAGTCTCAACTGGATGAGTATCAAGCCCGAGAAGCACAGCGGCAATGCCAGGCGAGAATCGCCCCCAGTCTCCCGGGCACCCTACTATATGAACCTGAACAGGCGTCGCGAGAGGTTGCGCAAACGACATAGTGGCCAGTGAAGCTCACGCGAGTCTGTGATATAATATTGGGAAACGTGTCACACTCGCGTGAGATAGTCTTAACGTAGTCCCGTGACTAGTAAGTTACAACGTTTCTGATTGGTTAGGACTTACTTCACCAAATTGAGCAGACATAATCACGGACCCACACTGAGTCCACGCCTCCCCCTTCCTCACATTGCTCGCCTGATACCCACGAAATGACACCTGAGCATTCCGTATCGCAGAAGGGCGGCAAAGGCGTGGTATCTCAGTTAGTAGATCTCCCTTAAGCAGTCTTCCTCGATTATTGACCACTTCACAGCTTCATGGTTGGAAATACCTACGTGAGTGAAAACGACATCTGGCTGCTGATATCAAATTTTACAATCCATTAAACCTTGATAAATTTACATGGCTAGCCATATACGGTTTACGACTGGCTTGACGATATCAATCTCGCCCATAAGCACGCCCTGTAAGCGCGCCATCCTTGGTCCTGCGGAGCGGTACTGACCCGACGTACTGGGGTAGGGACGGCTTCGCTCTCAACGTGGGCCGCGAGGAATGGCAAAAGGACCGCGTTTTGGACTGCTACCAAGCAGCAGAACGAAGTGGCTTGCCCTTCAAGCTGTTCATCAGTTTTGATATGACGTGAAGCTTCAAAAATACCAGGGGAGGCCGAGTACAAAGTAAACTGACGAAAGCTTGGTATCCAGGTCTATCCCCTCAGAGTCGACAGAGGATACCGGGTTGCTGCTTGATTACGTCAAGGCTGTAGCATATCATCCGAACCAGTTCCGCAGCGATGGAAAGGTAGTAGTATCCACGTTCGCCGGAGAACACAGTCGATTTGGCTGTGAGACCACCAACCAAGCGTGGACGGCGGTCAAAATGGTTTTGGAAAAGATCACACCGGTATACGCTAAAAGGTCTCATATCAACTTGTGCTCGAGCTCTGAATACCCGAAATTATACATAGATACATCTCATCCCCGCATTCTTTGTGGACCCTGCGGCGCACTACAATCTGACTTGCACAGACGGGTATTTTAACGCGTGTTTGCTCCTTAGGTCGCCTCTTTCTTCTCTAACGCTTTCGAGGTAGTGGAACGGCGGGTGGCCTGTTCACTTAACACCAGAATCCCCGCCAGAAGAGATTCGGTGTCCCAAACTTGACAGCGACTCACATCACCTCCGCAATTTGGCTGGTAAGACCTACATGGCCGCTGTCTCTCCCTGGTTCTTCACGGTTCGCAATTACGTCAGCCCAACTACATATCCTTTCTGAATGTACGCGTGGGGAATAGCATTACGGCGAGGATTCATGGAACAAGAACGTGAGCCTCAATTCCTCTACCCTGTTCTCGAAGCCGATGTAGCACCATCAGTGGATATACCGCGGCGATGATTGGCTTTTCGTGCGTCGCTGGGAGCAGCTCATGGCCATGCGCGACAAGGTGGACATCGTGCAAGTAATATCTTGGAACGGTACTAACGTTCTCGTCAACCTGTCCTGTTCTCACAAAGCACCCACAGACTACGGGGAATCGCATTACATCGGCCCTATCAAAGGGGCGCAGCCCAACTCGCAAGCCTGGGTAGACGGATATCCGCACAAGGCATGGCTCGAGCTTAACTCCTACTTTGCGCGTGCCTTCAAGACAGGACGCTACCCTCCCGTCACTAGGGACAAAATATACATGTGGGCAAGGCCACATCCTAAGGACGCTTGGGCGCCGGATGACGTACCCCGTCCTCGGAATTGGCAGCTCGTACGTTCCAAACGTTCCTCCCAATAAGGAGATGTTAATGTGGCTAGCAGACCGATGATGTCTTCTGGGTGGTCGCGATGGCCACAGCTCCCGCGGTACTCATGCTATCCTCTGGGACAGAGGACAGTGCAGCCTTTCACATCCAGGCAGGCGTCTCGAAGTTTTGCCACAACCTGATACCTGGGGGAACCATGAAAGCGGAAATGCTCAGGCATAATCACGTTGTCGCACCCTGCGAGCCAGACAATTTCCGCTTCCAAATCAACCCTCGGGTGTACAACTTCAATGTGTTTGTGACTGAATCTACTTAGATTGTGCACACTATCAATCCAGGTGATTTATCTCAAGATTCACCAGGTTTAAATAATGCAGATATCCAGGAATACAGCAGAGGATTAGATTAATCATTACGCGTACAGGGGTCATTCGCACGCATCCCGCTCACGCAGACCAGCCCACCTAAGTAATGAATGATCCGAAAGAGTTGAGCTGCACTCCATCTGTCAAGAGCCCCATCAAGTCAAATACAATTGAAATCTAACGTACCGTCATGACGAGTCGAGGCGTGCAAGGATGCCATCGGCAAGTCGCCTGAGGCCGAACTTCGTCTTGGTCTTTCTTGGGGATTTTGGGAAGTACTGAACAGAGTATTTGGGATCTGACATAGCAGACGGTGGGGTCAAGAGAATGAAAGATATGCGACGGCCTTGTCTAGTCTCGATTTCGACTGAATTTCGGGATTCCTGAGAAGTACCGCAGTTCAGCCACTGCACAGAGAATTATTGGCCACAGCTTTCACATACCTCGACGTCATGGCGATATCCACTCTCAAAGGAGACACGCTTGTCCTGCCAGTGCCAACGAGAATCGGTAGGGGTGTCGAAATCAGCTATCTCCGTGTCCTCTGACTCCGTATCTGACTCAATCTCTTCCTGCGTATCGCTGTAACCCCAGCGCCACGGTACCGTACAGTCGTCCTTATCTACTGCCTCTGCCCAACAAACAGCAGCAAAAGCCTCCAACGGGGCAAGCAACAGTTGTTCGTCAAGCTCCTCTAGACAGCTCAAGTCAAAGCCATAGTCCAGCAGAGCGCGGTCGATACAGTCGTGGAGCGTGAGTTGGTCATCGCATAGACTCATAAGATCCTTATCGCTCATCAGGTCAGAGTTGTTGTAGACGTCCGTGTCCGGAGTCAAAGTACGTGGCTGGGGGACATCGCTGAACACGGGAGACACGGATGGCGAGCGTGCAGAGTCATAAGAGTACTACTTGCATGACACCGTCGGAAAGAAGGTTAGCGCTCGCAAGACACTTTGACATGTGAAGATGAGGGACGTACATAGTACATCGGCGCACCGATTGGTTCCGCATCAAGCGGGAGATAGGATACACGGGATTGGAGACATGAAGAGACGTTAGTAGACATGATATAGAATGATAGCGATACACTGAAATGGCCGCTGCCTAGAGACGGCAGATGCAAGAACGTTGAGAGGTCGTGATGCTGGGAGGCGAAGAGAATGTCGCGCTGGAGGCTTGGTAATGTGGTCTATATAGGAACGGGCACGCCACTGGTCCATACGCTCTATCGCGGCCACCAAGACACGCCTTTTGTCTTGGGCCTCAAAGTTAATTGTCAAGGCCGGGAAGCGGCACCGAGACACCTTGATCACGTGGATCACGTGATCCTCGTGCAATTGCCACAAGAACAAGGGGTGGGGAAGGATTGCATTGCGAAAGCAGAGGGCAAATGATGCTACATGAAGCTGGAGTAGGGCAGAGACAGGTAAGCAGAGCTATGAGACAGCAAGAACAACAACGAAAACCAAGTCCATGATACCAGTATTCCAATGAATAAATGAAGCGTCGGGAGGTAGCCGCTACTCCTGCCCGTCCTGCAACGGTGACTTGCTCTTTCGTCTGAACTTTTGGGTCACTTTCTGCACCCAGCTATCCCTGTTTCTCCGGAGACTCGTCCGTGAGCGCTGGCCCCGGAGGACAACAGCACTGGGTGCGTCGGGATCGTCTTGGTCATTGGCAGCTTGCACGGTGGCTTGCTGCACCGACACGCCGATGACCACGGCAGATGTACCGGTGTCCGAGGGTGTAATCATGGAGCGCGAGTTTGACCGTGAACGGGACATCTTCCGTGCGAGTATGTCGCCAACAGCTTTGGTCAGCGTCTGACGGCCCGTGATGGTCTGCATCCGGGTGATATGCTCGTCGTCCTCATCATCTTCCGCATGCTCTTCATGGGGGCCAGCAGAATGCTCGGATGCGAATGAGTCTCGGCTGCTACTTGCAGTCTACGAGCATGTCAGCTGCCAAACACGAACACTATGCAATTGCACGCACATGTAACCGCGATTGGTAGACATTGGATTTCGAGGCTATTCGTGATAACCGTGCAGCGGGGTTTGTGACGCTGCTGTTACTAGATTCAGTCCCCTGAGACGGCTCTATTGGCTATGATTGCCAATGGTTAGTGTTTGTCCTGGGCACTGGGCTCGCCACGTACCTCTCCAAAGCGAGAAATTGAAACGCTGCCGCCACGCCGCCGTCCCCCCACCGCCCCTGACGAAGACGGTCTCGACTGAGGGTTCTGCTGAATACTCTGCTCCTCGAGGGCCCGTTTCTCGCTCTCCTCTTCGACCCTTTTGAATATCTACGCCATACCGGACATGAGGAGCGCACCATGCATGCATGCTAGGATACGAACCTCTTCAATGTGCTCTGGATGAGAAGTCATTGTGGAGTTTGCTGGTAAGCCCAAGGTTTACGGAGTTCGTCGTCGAGCGCCCCAGTAGGTGGAGGTTCAAGTAGAGGATAGCATTGTATTCGCCGTCAGGATCCACATATAAATGGTAGAACTCTCTTTGGGAGTTCCGAGTTTGTCTTCTGGAAGCGTGGGTCCTAAGCGGTGCATATAGAACTTTCCGAAAGAGGGGTTACGAGCGCTACTTCGCCCCCTCAATTGCCGTCTTTTGGGAAACAAACTCAGGGGAAGGCCTCGATTGACGTCGGAGGCCTGGGCTAGGATATTTTACTCCTTTCTATGGCAGTGGCGGGACAGCAGATCTAGAGACCATCGGAGGCGACGAGCAGCGGCACCGCTGTCGCGTTCACAGTCGTTGACGCTGCCCGTCGCGGCTGAAGGACAGAAGCACACTATTCTCGCTTCTCTCAAACGTTTGCAGAACAGCGTTTCACGTATGGGTCCCACTTGCATCAGAGTGTGGGTTATCGACGCATCTTTCGCGCGACGATTTCGAGGGGAAAAGATGCTACGGTACATCACTGCTCAGGTACAATCAGCATTTCACCCGACATAAGGCGGTCACGGTCTGTATTCGGTACGCCGCCTGCCTTGAGGCATCGAATTTGCAGCAACACATCATCAGTCGGGACCGGGCTGTATCCAGATAGAGGTATGCCGTCGTGGAAAGCGCGTAAACACACGAGGCACTCTTACGCACAATCCAGTAGAGTCCGGAAGGGAATCGGGGCGGTTCAGAATGCGGGACTGAAACAGACGGGCTTGTGTGAAGACCATGCCTGTCTCTGATGTTCCTTTCCGCACTACAGAAGACCATTTGAGTGAGCGTTGAACTGGAAGGCGGTGGTCGGAGTGTCCGTAGCCCCGATAGCGGAAGAAGACGTACGTAGACTGCCGTCTTACACCTGCGCCCACAATTGCCGAAGTCAACGACGGACTTTCCTGCTGACACGCCATAGACCGATTGCCTTACCTGGAGCATTGCAAGAGGTCGGGCCCTGTAGCCATCTGGCGACGACCACATCCCTGAGCACCGCATTCTTCGACGCCTTTTGTCGACATGCGTTTGACCATGTTCAACATATCCTGCATGTGCCTAGAACAAATATAATATCAGTGACCAGAGCCTACTCAATCGCTGTGAGAGAAGGCCGCACGGGTCATTTGTCAGTATGCCCAAACATCTCTCACTAGTCTCAGACGCGTATGAGCTGTTGTGCTTGCGCTTCCATAGCTGGAGCTTCATCACGAGCTTTCGTTTATCCGCATCCTCTATGTCAGATGTCCCTTGCAGGAGCAAAAGTGTAGCCAGGAATTGGCACATCTCGGCAGTCTGTTCTGGCCTGGCATCATCTGCTTCAAGCGAAGCCATGCGCGTGGCTTGTAACGCAGCGAGGCCGCGACCAGCATCCGTCCGTAGAAATCGGACGAAGTATGGTCTAATCCCGACGTTACAATGAATGACTTGGTCCAACAATAGGGACGTATGCACGCACGTATGGCTTACAGCGTTAATCAGAGTCATCGACGCGTTCAAAGGATCAGAGCATCCTTTGAATCTGGCGACAAGAGCTGGAAGATACTTGGCAGACAGTTCACTGCAGGCCACGAATTCAAGATATAATTCACGCTCTCCAGTTATTCATGCGTACCTGTAGGTTCTTTCCTGCTCCCGGCGAGGTCTCCTTTGTAGGATGCCAAGCTGCCATCCCGGTGTCCAGTCACGCGTCAACGTATGAACTGGACCTGCGTGCTCACCTGTAGCTTGACATTGCGGATTCCATTCTCAGAATCCGATGCAGGACTGGCGTCAGGATCAGTCTGACCTGACGCACCGGCAGAAGCTGCTAGTGAATCAGGGGATATAAGGATATTTTCCATCATGTTCACCCGGGCTCTCGCGTCTTCGTAGAAGAGAATAAGAGAATGCGCGGACTCGGCAGATGCGAAGGTAGATAATTGACGTTAGCGCAGTAGCCAGTACGTACGAGCAGACGCATTAGAACTACTATTAGAACTCCGAGTCGGACAAAGAACGAACCCGCGAAGTCGCAGAGAGCGGGTCCGGGTCAGCACCTCCCGCTTCTCATCTTAATTAAATCGTTAGCGTTCTGTACATAGGATTTTCCGCAGGGAGAAGAAATCGGATGATATGTACGAAGATTCGCACGAACGATACGCAACGAGAACAACAAGGAATGGAAAATCATGATCACACATGTACACATGCAGTTCTGCCTCAGGCCTCAGGCCTCAGTACTTGTAAGTCTCGCTACTCCTGTGCGTCCTTAGCAGGGCGCTATATGTGAAAGGATGACCGCTCGTTCGAAGTATCTGAGCTACGGCGCCCACGAACGCGGGGTGCAGGTCAAAGAAGCTACCAGATAGTTTGTCTTAGCACAACCCGTGTTCCAATGTGTTGAAGGTTGCGTGAAGTCATGAGAATTTCGAAGGGAAAGGATACTCGAGAGGTGGACTGAAGCCTCTATACGAAACTAGCCACGCCCCAGAGTCTAGACGTCTGCATCGGCATGTCCAAAAGATACAACTAGCGCTGACGGTATTCTGGAAGGACCTACCGGTGCTAATTGAATTGACACCGACCAACCGACAGGCTTGTGGATGAGAGGCTCTGCTGGACATACTATCATCTTCATAGTCAATCACGTCGACTTTTATCCTTAGCACTGCTCGGTCATGAGAGCTTTGAAGGAGGAGTACAACGCCAGGGGCTTGCAGCAAGCGGAGGACGAAGTAGATAAAACAGTCAAAATGGCAGTTCGAACGTTTGCCACCGAGTGGGGGATGCACGCGTGTAGAACCTGAGTCCTAAGACACAGTTTCAGACCGCTGCTATTGTGCAGCTCGAATTGCCAAGGTGTCGAATTCCACGTTATGATCACCCGCTGGGATCTGCCTATATAAATGCGTATGCTCATGAAGGCAGTAATGCAAGCCGACACTCACCGGAGTCCAATCAGACTTGTATCGCATACTTCGACGAGCATTGCGTAAAAACCATATCAAAACCTTCGTCGAACTGCTTCGGTTCATGACCTTGTAGCGTCCGGGCTTGTCCAGGTTCTTGGGGCATGATACTTTGTTCGCAATGACCGCGGGCGACGTCACGAAGGCTTGAAGTTCGTATATGTGCCTACCCAGGAAGCAGGAGGCGATAGGAGTGCGTCGTGAGAGCCCAGCCATCCTCGGGACACATTGAGGGAATGAGCGTATTTTCTTGACCTCTGCCCCGTCCGCGGAGAGATCTTCGGCACGACGTTTCAGAGTGAACGACCTGCTAACTCGCTGAGAATTATTATTTCGCATCTTGAGTGACGCAGGAATGTATGGGCTCCCGACGATAGCATATTCATCGATCGCCACGTCTCCATTACACTACCATATAGATACCTAGATTACTGAGTCCAACTCCGAGACGTGAACCTGCTACTCACAAGCTAAGTGCGGGTCACGGGAGGAAGAAGCGAGGTCCAAAAGCGAAGGTGACAAAAGATGATCCCGGCTACTCTGATTAACTTCACGGTTGGGAATCCAAGTCCTTGAATTCCGCTCGTACTGCAGGGTAATGGGTCATGACCAGACTTACTGACAGCAGCGCAAGGTAAGAAACGTACACTTCTCCCATTCCAACCGCTCCAACTCGGCTATCTTTGTGGCCTGCTCTTCCTCGATCTTCTTCCCGAGGAAAACATCTTTCCACCCGATCTCCTCGTTCTTCACTTCCGCAGGATTGAACACCGCTTCCCCCTTCTTGCGCGCTAGGTTCCGCAACCTTGTGTATTCTTCGTCGGATAGGTCGTCGTTGGAGCGTAAGCGCTGAGCTATGTCCTCGAGAATGGACGTTTGGGCGAGGACCGAAGCTTTCTGAGCTTCGGCGGTTTTGCGTTGCCAAAGCAGATGGATGGAAACGGAAGTGAGAGCGACGGAGTAGATTATATGTGGTAAATATGATGTCCTACTCATGTCAGCTTCGTAGCCTGCGTTCGTCGTTCAAGCATAGAGATGTGTTATGGCGGACAAATGTCAGCGCGAACGCGGTTGTATCTCGCGATCGCGAGAAATGTGGCAACTACGCTTGAGGCGGAGCGAAGCGTAGCAAGAACCCTCCTAGGATCCTGGCCATGGTCCAGGACTCATAGGGCTTGGAATTGGAAGTTGAGGGATGTTCGTTCTCCCTCACAAGACACTACTGCTACTGTCTGAGGTGAGGCTCAGATAGCATCAAGCCAAACCTGAGCTCTATACTATGCAGTGGGGCAGGAAGTGGGAGACCCGTCGATCTATATCCTTCACCAAGTTCATCGAGCCACGTTGCCACCGGTGCATATGTGGCCATGGAATAAGCCCATCGCTCGGCTGGATGTGCTACCAAACATCGTTAGCTCTGGAGCTGTTGTTTGGATGTTATTGCCACAGTCGAGAGTGACGAATTCGTAAAGTCAGAGAGCTCGTCGCGGACCCGGACCGCTGCTCCCAACGTCCTCGGAACCCACTGAAACCCGAGTTAGATGTTATCCTTCAGAAGAAAATGTCAACAGCCGAGGAGGCCGAAATTCCATGCGCTTATGCAAGTCTATATCCAATGTAACCTGCAATGATCCCTCTTAACCCTAACAGAAAGGATGAAATGATCACTATCGGGGGGCGTCAGGGCGCAAGCTCCACACGAGCAGACGGACTATATATGCGTACCAAAGATGCACCACCACAAGTCTTGATTGTCTGGCCGGTGATGTACTCTCCCTCGTCTGAGACCAAGAACGACACGAGCTTGGCTACGTCTTCGGGCTGCTGTATGCGACCGAGCTTCACATCACGCTTGATGCGCAGGGCTTTCGCCTCTCCTATTGAGATCCCCTCCTGTGAAGCGGGACGTAATGAGAATTAACAACAAAGTGACAGAGAGACACGCACGATCTTCGCCAGCTCCCGATCGATGTGGTCCCACATAGGAGTGTCGACGATGCCCGGGCCATAGGCTGAGGGAAGGGTAGGCGCGAGAGGCTTTGACGGGATGTGGTGTTACTTACCGTTCACGCGAATGTCGTATTGAGCCCACTCCTTCGCTGCTGCCTCGGTGAAACCACGGACGGCGAACTTGGTGGCGCCGTAGGGTCCAAGGTTCTCTGTCCACCGTATCCGTTAACGATGATCCCTGTAAAACGGAAAGCAGATAATTACCGGCCGTGCGATACGACGCTATTGAGCCGGCACCGAGGATGCGACCGCCGAAACCTTGCTTCACCATCTGCTTCGCAGCCGCAATGTGCGTGTTCATCAGCCCAAGCAGGTTAAGGCGGACTTCGTTCTCGATAAACCTATATTAACCGGTTACGTACCGGGTCAGGCAGAGCAGTCACGGGGTGATGGTGGGAGCGGGCTTACTCTGGTGTGCACTCCAGAAGGGGCTTGACCTGGGTCACGCCGGCGTTCGCGACGCTGACGAAGAGTGTAGGCCCGAGCCGGTCGACGGTCTCCTCTACGGCGGCGTACACCTGCTTCGCCTCCCGAACATCTGTGTTGGCTCGTCAGTGTCTGTTTCGCTGACACAGGGTCCCCACACACCTGCGAAGACTCCAATGGCCTTGCGCCCGTAGCTCTCAATCTCCTTGATGGTATTTGCCAGCCTATCCTTCGCTTGGGGTATCTCAGCGATGGAGATGTCGTAGCCGTCCCTCGCCAGCCGAGTCGCAATGGCACGGCCGATACCCTGCGCACCGCCAGTCACGAACGCCGTCCGTCCCAAGGCTGCTTTGATGGGTGCTGCCATTACTCAGGGTGGGGGAGGGGAAAGAGGGGATGAATGCTGGGTAATGGAATTATTGCGAGCATTTATTGAGGGGCCCCGGGCCGCTGTGGCAGCAGAAGATCGGAATATCCGGCAGCCCTTCCATCTGGCGACCGGGCCTGGATTCCTGTCCGATGCGGTAGACGTAAAACTTGCACTGTGCGAGCCTCTTGGAGGAGTCAGTCGCGGAGTTGTTTGAGCAATGAGGAGCCGGGCAACTGAAGATCGAGGAACGGAGTGAACATAGTGATCTCGGACACTTCACCGGACCAGAATTTACTTGATAAAACGTAAAATAAATAATCGTATCCAGCCCTTATAGCTCAGTGGTAGAGCGCATCACTCGTAGGTCATGATGAGGTCCGTCGTTCAATCCGGCGTGAGGGCAATTTTTGCAAATCGGATCGTTTCCAGTTTACCTCACATCACCTGTCCATTCCTTTTTCCTGTATGGACTTTGTTTGGGGGGACAATATATCATTGTTAAGCTCGTATCTCCCTCAAATTCAAACATATTCGGGCGCTGTTTTGACGAGTCGATGCGAAATTGCGCATAATATCAAAACGTACTTACAGATATCCTGTGTGCAGACTATTCCGGCAGCAAAATACTGGTTTCGGCACGATTTCGCTTACACTGGGGGGAGAGTTTGACAATCAGTAACGGAACTGTCACACCGGCTGCGGCAATCTCCAGACGGCATTCCCTATCGGGAGCACCTGGGCTGGCCCTTCGGTTGTGCACATACTCCAGCAGGGGATGGAAAAATCGTCTGCAGCAGCTCATTTTATTTGTGAGAACATAATTACAGATTGTATAGTAAGTGCTATCCAAGGAAACATTGACTGCAAGACCCACTGGGGTCGTCGGCGCATGCACACGCGAATGCGCATTCAAGCTCCGCTTGGATTCCACAGTCACGCCCTGTCTCGATAGAGTGTTTGACAAACACCTACCTGACGTCTAGCAAGGGAATTCCTCCACCTCATGCATATCGGGCTTGACGAACAGGCAGTTAAGAACTGTAAGGACGTATTCTTTATGTTGTTCCATGGTTTTGGGACACACCGTTCAGGAGATCTCTCCAAATGCATTCCCCAGTAGAGGTATATCAGCGTGTTTTGTGTGTTCACGGACGAAGCAAGGAGAAATAAATTATTCTGAGCTTAGAGACATGAAAAGTAGATGCATGCTCATACGTATGCCAATTGCTGAAGCTGAATATGGGATGTGGAAAGAGCTACGAGCGATTTGTCGTTTTGTCAAACCCAATACCCGTGTCAAACTCCCCCCCAATTCCGATTCCTCTAGAATCGGTTTACTGTTCATCGGTTGTATAGGGCTCTCTGGTGATCGAGAAAGCGAGCGCTTAACAGGGGTTATACCACTTACAGCCCAAATTACTCGAAATGTAATAGGAGCACTGCTCATAAATGGTAGGTGGACCGATCCAAATCTTACCGCCACCAACAAATAGGAACTATTACCCCTTATGTCGAGGATTACCATTTGTGTGATGGAAATTAATTCCAAATATGCAGGGTGGCACTGTCAGGCATCCCCCGGCTGCCTAATGGCAAGCATCCTGTTGCCTACGGTACAAGCTATCAGTGTTGAAAACATGCTGTATACAGTACACTGACTCTACAGTAACACTGATCGAGGGTGGCGGAATGCCACCCTAGGGCAGCAAAGAAGGCACTTGTTATCTATTCTCAGCTATATGTAACTGTAAAGCTTGACACCAAGTATCTGATGGAACGAAGACTCTGACCGCACCGGCAGGCCGCTAACTTGAGAGTTAGAAGTTGATATCATTCAGTATCATTCAGGTCAAGATGAAATAACTATGAGCATTGTTGATGCCGTGCAGCGCCCGGGGAGCAAGAAAGATTATTTCCCTGCTTGTAGAGTCCCTGCCGTGGGTTTACCATAGACTTTTATATGTGAGGAATCGGACCTGGCGTGCCGCGCAGCGCCGAATACCTCCCAAGTGATAGTACTGATCGGTCTGCGGCAACAAGTCACGACTTAATACAGCCATTGGCAGATGGATGGGCCCACTTTTGAGAATCATTTACAGTCGGACCACGTCGGACTGACAATTTCAAGTCCCCGAGAGACATAAATCAGACCATCTGGACTTCTCTACCTTCTTCCGACGTCCCTGGCACCCACTCCGACCCACTCCGACTATACGTAGTTTTCTAAATTGATGGTCTATCGATCTGCAAGCGGCTGTAATTGACTTTTTTCGGCCGTCTTCTCGCTGCTGCGGAACTGGAACGTGTTACAGTGTCGTTGGAATGCGTCTCGACGGTCTCGTCTACAGTAGTCACATCCAATGTTGCGCCACTACCTTCAGTTCTGGAGATAATGCGGTCATGGGTCCCATTCTGGCGATAGCAATCCAAATCGTCCAATCGTCTGCTGCGGTCCCGGAGTGTCGACATTAGCGCCGATGATTAGAATATTGCGCATGCGCAGCGCAGCGATCAAACGCTAGCCACATGCTTCCAGGGGGCTGCGCTCCATGTTATAAACTCCAAGAGGGCTCGACCTCATTGTCGCAACTTGGTCGCAGCAGCCATGACGCGCAGCAGGTGCCTCCTCCCCCGCAGTATTCATATGAGGCGGCGAACGAAGTGTTCGTCCCCCCAAACCTTACAGCCAATTCAATGCAGCCAGTACACCCAGAATCGGCCGGACGGAGATTCCTCAAGGCCTTCGGCATAGCCATCCTCATATGGTTCCTGCTGGGTGCGTTCACCAGCAGCCTATATGACGTTGCGCACCAGGGCCATAGACATGGGTCGTTTCCTGTGAGCTTCTTTTTCCTCCAGCGTTTAGTGCTGCACTTTCTATGTCGACGTGGTTTGTTCAGTACGTGTACCAGGGCGGGCCGTCGGAGGGAGATGGTCGAGCAGACTGCAGTTCGGGTGCCCAATGGCAGTCGTCGGCGGCGGGGTGGTACGACTCTGCATCGGTCAATGCTACGGGCTCCTACCCCAGGTCGGTCGCAACCTCGCTGGAGCTCCCCTTGTCGTCCGACTTGCTCTACTTTGTCGCCCGCGGAGCGCAAATGTCGGGCAATCTGGACGTCTTGGACGACGGCAAGAACCGCGGCGTTGTCAAAGTGGACGTCGTAATATACTACCGTGAACAGAGCGCGCTCGACCGGACGTCTGTCTGCAAGCTGAAACGCGGAGACGGCGAAAATGGCGTTGGATTCTTCGTAAGCGCTTCATATAGCTCGAACAATCACAGAAGGCTGACTTTGGAGTGGTGCAGACGCCCACGATTCCAGAACATGGCTCATGGCGAGACCAGATCCGTTTTGACCTTACTGTCCATTTGCCGGTCTTCCCGACGGACGGGGTCCTCCATATCCCGGCTTTCGACACGCATCTCCCTAATTTTTCAGAGCGGTTGGGCGATCTGGGGAACACCGTCCTTTTTGAGTCCTTGTCGCTGCGATCTACGAATGCCCCGATTTCCAGCAAGGTGAGTCTCGCGGGTTTGTCACGCAGGCCAGCAAGGACTTATGACTACCCCACGGCAGTCCGTTGCTGCTAAACGAGCAGACATTCAGTCGAGCAACGGCCCGATTCAAGGCAGTTTCAGGACGGACAGTCATCTGAGCCTCGTCACCTCCAACGCGCGTATCCAGGCTCAAGTGGAGCTCTACAACAACGGTGGCGCTGACACCACCGACCTGGTCCTAATCACGACTAATGGGTGATTTCCCTATAGTTAACCTCGAATGCAATCCAGAAACTAACGAGCTCTTTTGCCACGCAGTGCCGTTGAATCAGAGATCAGCGCGTACTCGACCTCCGGCTCCGGCTCCGGTGGCTCTTTCAAAACCTCAGCCAAGACAAGCAATAATCGCATCACACTGTCGCATGTCGAGGCACCGGTGGACTCCGTGCTCGATCTCACGGCGAGGACGACCAATGGAGCTGCCACCGTGCACTTGCATCCGACATTCGAAGGCACGTTCGAGCTGAGCACGTCGAATGCGCAGCCGTCGGTCGAGGTAAGTCGTGATGAGGATGACCCCAAGGGCCGCGGGCGACGGAGGCAGGTGTGGCAGACCACCCGGCGCCGGGGTACCCTGCAGGGGACCGTGTACTGGGATGAAGCCAGGAAGGATACAGGATCCGTGAAGGTGACGAGCAGCAATGCGCCCATTCACGTCATTCTATGATTTGGCCACATGTTTGGTTTTGGATTGTTACGCGGTCTGGAATTACTGTGTACGCTCAGCGTGGTATACAGCGTAATATTCTGTTGTACTAGTATGCCTAACTGCGAATTTGACATGTACTTGGTTAAAGCAAACGACAGCGCTATCGGAGGTTCGGCCCGAGGGCCTCCGAAAGGGTGGTGGCGGTGCTGTGCGCGTGCTATGTAGTATGGACGCGCTTTGAGCGTGGTCGCACAAGTGCAGCTTGCCATCCGCCAACGAAAATGCAAACCTATAGCATGTATAATCTGAGTAAATGACCTCAGATATATTATACTTTCTGCGTGGTGGTAAGCGTCGGTTTGCCTGTACCTGTAGTCCACGTTACACGTATGCTAGCCGAAACTTCACATCTGGCAGGATACCGTCAAGAGCTGAACATCTCACAGATTTCTGCTGTTATTAGGGATGGCAGCATCTTTTGGAGTCTCTCTAAAGCGGAGAACATAGGACCCGTCACCCGGCTTTCCTATCCCTATCGCGGTCTTCTGTCCGAGCGGCGGCCCGGGGTCCCTCATTAAATGCTTGCAAGAGCGAAGGATAGCAGCGCCCCGCGTTCGCCCTCCCCTCCCCGCAATCAGTCTCCTGATCGCATTTCTGACACCATCAAGGAATCCTTGGGCCGCACCGCGTTCCTCACGGCGGCGCGCAGGGTATCGGTCGCGCCATCGCCCTGCGCTTAGCGAGGGATGGATATGATGTCTTCATTGCCGAGCAGCCCCACTGGCAGGCGACGGAAAAACTCGACGAGGTTATCAGGGAGATTGAGAGGTATGGCCGGAAGACTATTGGCGTCTTTGCGGGTGCGTGAGGACTGTCGCAGTCAGTGCTACGCCAGCTACAAGCAGATCTAAGCTGCAATTGACGAGACAGTCGAGAAACTCGGCCCCTACTCTATTCGTTAGTGTCGCCAACGCCGGCGTGACCCAGGTCAAGCCTCTACTCGAGTGTACGCCAGAGTAAGCGTGATGCGAGTGTCACTATGCCCTACCGCTCACCGACGGCTGCGTACTGCAGATGGCTTGAGAACGAAGTCTGAATCAACTTGCTCGGGCAGAACACTCACATCGCTGCCGCAAAACAGATGGTGAAGCAAGGTTTTGGTGGTCGCATCATCGGAGCTTGCTTGATATCCTTAGACTCGTACGGTACAACTGGTAAATAATCCTCCTGGTATGGGTTTGGGCAGTGATTATAATCAATACATGCGATTTACAGAGTGCCTTGGACCGTATGCCGCGACAAAATTCGGAGAGGCGTCGGCGAAAGAATGGGCAAGTACGACATTCGAGTCAACGGTAAATCAATGGGGCCTAATTCTACTGCGTCTCTGTGCTTATCCACCTTATCTCCTCAGCCTATGTTCCTGGTATCGTCGATAAGTATATGGTGATTCTAGGGCCCACTTACGGTTTGAGGCGGAAACTGATGATGAAGTCGCATCAATTGAGCTCAAGATCATGTAGCGGCATTGCTTGCCGCGGGTGAGCGGACTTTACAGCCCAACCCCATCCGTTCTGCGGTTGTGGTGCGTAAAACGCGTATCCTCGAGAGATGTTTTCCGACGATGTCGGTGACAGCTCGCCTTCGTTTTAACGTCGAAACCATTCCTGACTCGATGAATGCAATCAAACACATCCTGAACTAGGGCTCGTCGTACATAGATTCACGTTTAGGATGCACCACTCATACCGCTCGGAGGCCCAGAGCACATGGAATTGACCAGTTGAGTGATCTATGTAGTCTAATGGAAACTAAAAGAAATCGAACAAATTCGAGCGGTTGTTGAAAACCGGCATTCGAAGTGCGCATTTACCAAATCCGAGTCTCGAGCAACAAATCACCGTTGCCCTCCAATCCGATGCACGCCTTCAAGAACGCCTCGAGCGCGTTCCGCTGTCTGCTCAAGCTGTTGACGACGTCCGTGCCGGGCTTGACGAGCGGCGCCTTGAGCATGTACGACAGGAGCGACAGAATCGGGTAAAGCGGCTTGAACTCGGTCTGCGCGCCGTTGGAGAGGTCGCGGTACTTGACGCGGGTCAGGAGCTCGGCGAGGATGCTCAGGTCCAGGATGAGTGGGGTAGCCAGGAGGGAGTCCTATCGGGTATAAGCGGTCAGTGAAAGCACTGGTAAGTCGCAGCGACGTCAACATACCTCGCACTCGTTGAAGATGTTAATGGTGGACCGACCGCCCATCAAGATCTCCGAGTAATACTCATCGATGGCCCTCTTCGAGTCGCCGACGGCGGGTACATACTTAATCACCACGATATGATCGGGGTGCTCGCCCTTGGCCGCCTTGCCCTTGGCGCCCTCCGCGGGGGGCTTGTACAAAAGCCTGTTCGCGTTGACCATGTCATCCACGACGCTACTCTTGCTGATCTCCTTGCTCTTGAACTGCGGCTCGGCGGACAAGTTGTGGCCATCGTTGTTCCCAAGATGGTTGTACGACGCGATCGACAGTGGCTTGATACCCGCGTTGACGAGGAACTCGGCGAAGACGCTCTTGAGCTTCGTCTGGCCAGACTTGAGATCGTCCCCGCCGATGAACGACTGGTGGCGCTCAGCGAGCTCGATCACGCCGGGCACAAACGTGTTCTGCGGGGCGCCGTTGACGAACGGCTCCCCCTCGAGGATGGACGCAACGGCGAAGAGGGTCGACGGGGACACCTCGGAGTGGGAGGCCTTGATCGCGGCGAGGAGGTTGTCCGCGGTGTCGTTCACGCCAGGGATGATGTCGCTGTAGCGCTCCGTGTTGGCAGTCCAGAAGACGACAACGCGGTCAAGCGCGTGCTTCTGCTTGAACGCACGGATGTCGGCGCGCAGGTGCTCGAGGTGCGCCTGCTTGTCCGAGCCGGGAATGACGTTGTCCGCGCGCGCCTCCTGGTTCGCGGCGATGAAGTCGGGGTAGTAGATCGACGGGAGGGGCTTGCCGATCTCAGCCATGTGCGGGGCGACCTGGCGCTGCAGATCCCAGTCAAGGACCTTAGCGCGCTCCATCGCCTTATCCATGGGCAGGCCGGAAATGTCCCAGCCGCCGAGGACGAGGTCGTTCGGGTGGACCATCGGCAGGATGGAGGAAATGGGGACATAAACCTCCTTGCCGGTAGCGGGATTAGTGCCGATGCTGACAGTGGAGGCACGCAAGACGGAGCCGATGTAGTTGGGCTGTTGGATCCCGTTCTTGGTGTGCCAGGAGATCCCGTGGCGGTTGGCGAGGATGGTGGCGCAGAGGGTCGTGCCATTGTTTCCACCAAGTCCGACCATCATGAGACTAGATAAGAATCAAGACAGAGCCGTGCAGCAAGATAAACAAGACGTACCCAGTCTTGGATACCTTGCGAGTCGTCTGGAACTCGAAAGGCTTGGAGACCGGCTTGACGCTGTACATGCCATTGGCGAAGACGGCTTCAGAGCCACGGTTGAAGAACTTAGAGACGATATGCTCGTCCGAATACGCGACATTCTCGGACTGCACAGTGATAGGCAGGGGGCGGGCTGCGGTGGGATGTACGGGGACGAACCCCTCGAGCTCAGACTCGGGGGTGTTCAGCCCGGACGAGTTGGTAGTAGCGGGGCCCATAGTTTATTTGTTTATTGAAGAATAGATTGACGACGAACAGCGAGATGAAACTCAATGATTTGCTAGAGGGCTGGGAGCAGAGTGCTTGGAACCGCGGTGAGGGTTGTGAACGCTACCGAGCTGATTCGAGAACATGCAACGGGGGCGGCTAGGGAAAGCTCAGAGAGCTGTGAAGGGTTTATAAACGCGTCAAGTGCTGTGGCAGTCGAGGTCGTTGAGGTAAAAGGGAACGCGACTGGAAAATAGGGTGATACCCTCGTTAGCTTTATATTTGCCTTTTCAGAGTCCGCCGCTGAATGGAAAATAGTTTAGCCGGCCCCTGTCGATCTCTCCAAACACGCGTATGCATATATACGCGTACGCTTTATCTTCTGACTCTTCACTTCATAGCCGAGTTATGTCTTGACAGTCTTCCAAGAACAACTCTGTTACACATGTCTACGCATTTTCTTACCTTGTAGCGGATAAACGTGCTGCTTACGATTGATCCTAGATTCTGCCGACCTTGCTGTCGACATAACATAATCTGAATCTATCACACATGAGGCATTCTATCACGCCCTGAGCTCGGTTTTTTGGGGGATTTGTAGGACGGCATCCTGATGTGAAGGGTCACGCCCGATAACATTTTAAAACTCGGGAACCATGAACCGTTCTTTATCAAGGCATAAGTGCGAGTCCAGGGAACCTGCCTTTGAGCGGTGGAAAGCATCTGAGTAGTCGGAGTTGAACTTGCAAGTAAACGGTAAACGGTTCGCATCCCACATATCTCTCCAGAATGTAGGCAAGGTGGACCAGTCTATGCCTCGGACATGGTGATCAGCGTTGACATACCGTATACTACGATATCCTCCGTCCCAACGGTGATAAACGTCTCAAGGGCTGGCGACTACAAGAGGAAATGTCCCGCTAGCGGCACTGCTGTGGTACGATAGTGATGATTGAGGAGGTAGCCTTCGCTGATTTGCTATATTAGACTCGAATATGATAAGATCGAGCCCGAGTAAAAGCATGGGCAGGAACGTGCAGACTCCCTGACCTTGACTGTGCACTACTGTCGGGCGTGCATGAGAGGTCTGTACTCGACAAAGGAACTGTTCACAAATTTGCTTTGTAGGCATAGTGTTGTATGCAAGTTGTATGGGCTTTGGATTCGCCAACACTGCAAGCAACAAAAATATTACTTGCACTACACTTTCCCACCAGCCGATTCGAACGACTGACCTCGACATTACTAGTGTCGCGCTCTACCAACTGAGCTAGGCGGGATGTGTGCCGATTGGTGTTAAATATTTTTATAGCCATTATGTAGCTACCTTCAACCCAAAACTTCGAGCCCGAACTTGACTTGGGCTGGTACACGTCCCCACCGTACGCCTGGCAAGGATCCCTGCTGGACCTGGCAACAAGCATACAATGTATGCCCACCTTCTGACAAGAGTTCCCGCCCGCCGTGCGCTGGCGTCCGTGCAGCAGCGACCAGGGCCGTCCGCAATCCGCTACATGGCCTCCAAGTCAAAGCGCACTCTCCCTCCCTTGAAGTCTTCGGCGCAGGCGTCATCGTCGTCTACCACCCCGCCTCCCCGAGAGCAGCCTGCTGATGCACCTACAACATCGCCGCCAGCAGCGAACTCGTCGGCGTCTACCCCGCCGTCGAACTTACGTTCACTAGATTTCGAGACCACGGGCACGGATATCCCCACGTCGCTCACGAAGACCGCTGAATCTGAGACAGCGCAGGGTCAGAGAGAGGATGGAGGTCAGCCGAGAGAGCGCACGGGCGCGCGGTCGTCGAAGGATTCATTGTCCAGCATTGAGCGGCGGAGGCGGATGCTGAGTAGGGTGACCTTGGCTATCCTGCTGTTCGCCATGGTAGCAGAGGGGGCGTATATGGGGCGCGAGTGGGAGGCGGAGGAGCTCAAGGAGAAGAAGATGGTGAGTTCTGACTAGTATCTACTGCGAGTAACGCATGCAATGTCAACGGCACGACAGACACCAGAGACGGCGCCATCGACGCGATGGGGACGGACAAAGGCACGATTCTGGGAATTCTTCGGTGTATGTTCTTAATGTGGTCCTCTGTCTGTCCATTGACTTTCCTCCCCGCTTTCAGGTATTCTCGGAACCGCAGTGGCCTGAGCTTCTCCCGCCGCCTCTCCCTGCACCACACCAAAAACCCTACACCCTCCTCGTATCGTTAGAAAACCTTCTTGTTTGGAGTACATGGGACGTGGGTGACCCCATGTCTGGTATCCTTTGGCCTCCACCTCTAACGTGCCTTTGGTAGCGTCAGCACGGCTGGCGAACAGCAAAACGTCCCGGCGTGGACTATTTCCTTGCCTACCTCTCACAATTCTATGAAATTGTAGTGTTCACGACAGATCCTAGTTATGTACGTGTCTCACCGCTCTCCTAGCCCGTATTGCCTAACACATCGCTAGACCGCAGCGCCTATAGTCGAGAAATTAGACCCATACAATATGTTCATAACGTATAAACTATTCAGGGAGGCAACGCGCATGGTTGACGGTGTCGCTGTCAAGGTATGCCTCTCTCTTCGTTGTCCGATTGTGCGCTGAACTAGTGTGGCATGTTCTCTAGGACCTGTCATACCTGAACCGGCCACTTGAGAAAGTAATACTCCTCGACACACACCCTGAACATGTCAAGACGCATCCGGAGAACGCGATTATCCTGAAGCCGTGGAAGGGCGAAAAGGGCGACAAGGGATTGATTGCCATGATACCTTTCCTCGAATGTGAGCTGACCGTCGCGCGTGGTTGCATGGCGGAGTGCTGATGTTCGAGTGTGCTCAGCCATAGGAATCTACAAGCCGCCGGATGTGCGCCCGATCCTGCAGGCCTACGCCGGGAAGGACATCCCTATCGAGTACGCGAAGAAGGAGGCGGAATTGAAGGCGAAGCATGTCGCCGAGTGGAAGGAGAAGCACAAGCATGGCGCTGGGGTGGGGGCGTTCAAGCTCAGCAATTTGTTCGGAGGCAGCTCGGTGCGTCTTCATCATCCTCTCATCCAAACCGACCAACTGACTGCGAGCCTCCCCTATGTCTATCAGAACAACACCTCCCCCATCCCGCCTACGTACCTCGAGCAAAAGCGCGCAGAGGCGCAGGCGATCTACAAGGAGGAGCAGGCGTACATCGCGTCGCACAAGGAGGAGTTCGACCGGCTGCTGGAGGAGGACAGGAAGGCGATGGCGCGGGAGATGAGCGGGAGCCTGTGGGGCGCGATCGGGAAGATGGCGGGTGTGCCGCCGCCGCCGATGTCGGAGGAGCAGGCAAAGCAGTCGCAGGCGGCGGCGCAGGGGCAGATTGTGCCCGTACAGGATGGTGCAGCGAAGGCGTAGAGATGTTGTTCGGTTGTGTTACTTTGTTGAGTTATCGATGCTCTCCACTCTTGATGCGCAGGACTGAAAGCGATTCTTGTGACGAACCTGAGGGTCTGAAGACAGGAAGACGGACACAGTCGGGAGTTCAGTTGCGTAAGGCAAGGTAAGTACGTCAAATATCAATTGTGGATTGCATCGTCATTACAAGCATAGTATGTATGGTAGGTGGCTTATCCTCATCTTTCGATTAGGACAGAGTTACTGATGAAACCTCTATCCACGGAGAGAAGAGTGTTTATCTTGGGCCAACTTGACTGTCGACCATGCAAAGTGGACGTCCATGGAAGACTACCTTATGGCCCGTACACTATCTGACTGTCAAGGCTTCCGTTGCTGGTTCCAGCATGAGAATGCCATCCCACTCTTGCTGACTAGTAGGATACATCGTTGGCTCGGAACATCAGATCGAGTAGGAAGGTATGCGGAGGGGGTACGTGGCTCGGTACAATCTGGTATTGAAGAACGGGGAATATGGTGGTCGTGCGACCACCATTGCCCTTTTATAAATGGGAACTGCGTTTGGGCGAAGTAAGAGGACAGTGGTTCTTTTTTGCAACGTCTCCGTGTACGAGACGTCAGCTGAGCATACAGAATCAGTCTCCAGATATCTACTCTAGGCCCATTTCCTGATGTTGTCTGCCTCGTTCCTGACGGGGTATGCATCTGCAAATGCGGCAGAACGTCGGTGTTCAACTCATGCGTATATGCGTATAACTATAGACTGCTGTTTGGCGATCAAGCGAATATAGTAGGACCTTGCTTATCTCTTCATTGACCTCCAGACTTCCAGCTCTGGCACAGAAGTAGGAATCCCGTAATAGATAAGGCTTCTCCAGAGCTAATCTACTATTGTAGGCGTATATGGGACTCAGACGGGCAACGATGCGCAGAAGACACGGCACCCCTCTATGGCTTCCAACGACCTATCTCAGAAGATTCTGATTGTCGGTGCCGGATGCTTTGGCATATCCACGGCGTACCACTTGCTCAAGCGTGGCTACAGCTCTATCACAGTGCTAGACAGGTCCGCCACACTTCCAGCGCCGGACGCTGCCAGCACCGATATCAACCGCAGTACGTTTCCTGGCTAGACAGACCGATACAGATTGATGAACTCATCCCATGCAGTGGTCCGGAGTTCGTATTCTGACCCATTCTACAGCAAACTCTGCCACGAAGCTATAGAGAGCTGGAGGGATCAGTCAGAATGGCCCGATGTCTATCGCGAGTGAATTCACACCGTATTATGCAGAGAGCTGAAAATCCTCATAACAGCACCAGATCAGGGGTGTTAATGGGAGGTGCTGGTTACGATCCGTACACAGAAGCAGCCTACAGGACCGACCTTGCCATGGGAGCTCGCGTCCGGGATCTCCCTGATAGAGCCGCGATCCAAGCTGTGTTGCCTCCTGGCGTCAGGACAGGGCTATTCCGAGGGTATATCAGCCGCGACGGTGGTTGGGTTGATGCTGCAAAGGCGACAACTACGATGACCTCCAAAGTTATCCGTATGGGCGGTCAAGTGCATGCTGGAAAATCTGTTTGCAGCCTAGTCCGGAATGGTGGCAAGACGCACGGAATCGAGTGTGCGGATGGGACCGTCTTCCTAGCTGATCTTGTCATAATTGCAACGGGATCGTGGACCGCTTCCAATTTCCCTGACCTTAGGCTCGAAGAGAAATGCGTTGCAGCTGGGTAAGTAGGGTAAATATGTGATCCTCGTGATTCTGCCACTAAGTGTAATGTTCTGGTTAGGCAAAGTGTCGTCACCATACAACTCACAGCGGAAGAAAGCGAACGGTATCATGGTTGCCCGTGCATGGTGAACTATAAGACAGGTTTCTACATATTCCCGGTAAGTCTCCTTCCTGTCTTATTCTCTGTTCTCATCGTATAATAATATGCAGCCCAACAAAGACAACATCCTGAAAATGGGAAAACACTGCGGTGGCCACGTAAACCCAGTTCACATCAGTGAAGGCCATAGAACTATATCGGTCCCTAGAACCGCGTCCTCGCATGGTGACGATGGCCTCCGCATCCCGAAGTCTATGCTGCAAGAGATACGTGCGCTCTTAGCTATGACCTTTCCGGAGCTTGCCCACAGGGCTTTCGCTAGTACCCGGCTTTGCTGGTAAGAGCATCTCCGCGAGCGTGTTACATGCTCCTTCAAATGTTTTTGCTTGTTCAGGTACACAGATACTCCTGATGAAGATTGGATCATCGGATTCTATCCAGGCGATGAGGGTCTTGTTATCGCGACCGGTGGGAGCGGCCATGCGTACAAGGTGAACTTTCCCTTAATACCGTCCATTATGAAGTTAACGGATCGACGGTTTGTCTTGCAGTTCCTTCCCGTGATTGGGCGTCTCACCGCTGATCTCATATCTGGAACACTGGAGCCACCGCTGCGCAAGAAATTTGCGGTGGATAGAGCCTTCGTTCCGCACGAGAAGACCCGATCGCCTTCGGTCATGGAAGTGTTGGACGTCTCGGTGCTTTGCTCGGCTGATGACCTTGTAGCGAATCGGGCGTTCCTAGCGTCACGCCCTTCTCGACTCTAGATATTATGGATTTCCGGGGGGCAATTGAGCTACTGATTATATTCCTACCCTTTCTCTCGCAATCAGCGAAGAAGATTTTATACGACTCTCATGTACGCAGAGCGCACTGGGAAGCAAAGTCACGTGGCTTCCGGACGCACGTAGAGGCAGATAATCCAAGAAATCAAGAACTTGAGCGCAGAATACCTGGCTTGCAGTTATTGCATTTCCTCTTTCACTCGCTTCTTCAACTTCGTTTCTGCTGAGATTCCTCGCGATGATTAAATTATCACTCACGAATGAGATGAGGAAAACCGCTCACTTACCGCTCTCGTCATCGTCTTCTGATTTAGGACGCTTGAGATCTAGAAAGTAAGGCGTAATGCCTATCAGTCTATGCCCCGGAGGGTACAGTCATGTGACTAACTGTTAATAGTGGGAGCATTCTCTACCAGTCGGCTCAATGCATCAATCAACGATGGTGATGGCTCATATCCCAGCGCAGGGTTAGAGCCGAAACCAGGTAGTTCGGCCTCAGCTTTCACAATAGGCGATGACCCATTATCTGGCGGATGTCCCGAGTCAGTCGATACAGATTTGACATACAGCTTACCATCCGCAGCTGTATTCTGCGATAGTTGCCTGAACGCGTCGAGCAGGGCGTTGGATGGTCTGTAATCGTCTGCGACACTTCGGTTAGCGTAGAGCAGAGGACGGCACAGTCGTGTCTAGTATATATATACCCTTTGACCCATGGCGACGGCCTCCATTTATATCAGGATCGGGCTTGATAGTAGCATCAGGGAGGGAGGAATCTCGCGGCTCCTCCTTTGTTTCCTCCAGGTTTTCCCGCAACACATCGAAGGCAGCATCCTCTGGAATGATAGTTACGAGAGATTATGGCTGATTGAGAGACCTCGAGCAGCGAGCAAACCTTCTTCATAGGGGTCATATTTCTTTGACAGAGCTAGCGGTTCGGATAAGTATTATCCTTTGACAACTGCACCGTCGACAAACCTGGCAAGGATGACTCCTGTTTGATCTCTCTCTTGACTTGTCCCGCGGCTGAACTCGGACCTTCACCACCGTCTTGGACGCGCTGAGGGAGCTGGGCTGGACGTTGATATGGCGTAAACGCGTGCTGGAGGTACACAGTCAATATGCCATGCCCCAGAATTATTACTCGAGCTCACAGGGTTAGGTGAACGTGCTGCTGTCGGTTGGGGTATGTTGCGTTCCTGTGCAGGCGGAGACATCTGTGATGGTGGAGACGTCTGTGATGATGCATTGTTTCCGTGGCGAATCCCTGCTGGGGCCGGGTCGACAGGCCGTGGTGGAAGAAGCACCAACGGCGCGATACTTGCGGTAGGTTCACACCACGTCGGTGGAGGATAGGGAGATACGAGGTGGAGATCTAGTTGTCGTTCTGGGTACATGGGTTTCCATTGATCTAGGGTATACCGTAAGCAAGGACTATCAGGTTATCCTAGAAGCGAAGCAAAACAAACGGGAGGCGGGATCACCACGTAACCTGTAGTTATACTGGAATATACACGACACCCTGTCCGCATCTGCGGGAGTCAGCCGAGGTGCGAATGCACCCCATCTGTGTTGTCCCAGAGCGGGCATCACATCAATGTCCTTCTCCATGGACACGATAATCTCCGTTTTCTGTGGTTCAGATATGTTCATCGTCAATCAACAAACAGACGCTGGGTGATGAACACGTACGGTACCCATAATGAATATAGAGATAATCCCGTTCTTAGTGTCGAATACTCGTTGAAGCCATGCAGCTGTCTCTTCGACATGGCGTTGAGTGCGATTTGATCTCGGCATGCGGAAAGGGTCGGTCACGACGATGTACTGCTCGTCTTCGGGTTCTTCATATACCTTTTGCTTTGAACCTTTTGCCATGTCGAATGCTTTATTTCTGGCAAAGGAGGATGATTCAGATGACAATGAGAATAAAGGATATGTAGTGTGTACAAGTGTATACTTGGTGGCCGACCGGTATGCAAGCTTACAGCTCGAGAACGCGTCGACTTTGGTCTTTGATGGGAACTGGCGTCAGTTTCATCTCCGCCGCGCATGACTCCGTGATTATCTGGCGCCTCGGAAGCATTTCGGACGTGAATGTCGAGAGCAGAAAAGATATTACATTGGATCTTGACGTCGTAAATACGCTGCGAATACCATACTCCAAACCCTTCACACTCCTGAGCACGGAACCCGTAAATCGTTGTTTGCATCGTCGTGGTCGCAACGTCGTACCCGCACCTTTTTTTCTTAATCATCCTCATCCCAATTCCCCGCCTGCTGCGGTATCTTCGGTCCTCCCGCCGGCTTGCTCATGATAATGCTATCAACGCTGAGGACAGCCACTGCAGCCTCGGTGCCCAGCTTCACCGCCCACGACTTAGCCGCGAGCGGATCCAGGATCTTGTGCTCAGTCGCTGACAGCGTCCCATCCGTCTCCGCCTACGGGGGTAGTTAGCTTCACGTCCCTTCAAAACGAATGACTACGATGTACCTCGACGTCCACCCCCCAGACCTCTCCACCCTTCTCCTCGTGCTTCGCCCACAACCGACTGAGCACCTCGTTCCCCTCCGCAGCACCAAACGCGTTCTCCGCCAGCGTGCGCGGCACAACTTCCAGCGCGCTCGCGTACCTCCTCACCGCATGCTGCGACAGGCCCTTCAGCCCGCTGCCGTACACCTCTATCCTCTTCGCGAGTTCGAGCTCGGTCGCGCCCGCGCCGGGCACGAGCTTCGGATCCTTCATCAGGGACTTGATGACGTTCACGCCGTCGTCAATTGCCCGCTCAAGGTCGTCCAGGTGGTTCTGTGTCGCGCCGCGCAGGACGATCGTCGCCGTCCGTGTCCTCTCGCCCTGCCCGGAGAACCCTTCCTCGCCGTCGACAAGCTGCCTGAGGACGGTCACGCGGTCACCGCCGACCTCGATACACTCGAAGACGTCGACGAAGCCCGCTTCCTCGGGTGTGGGCGCGCCGATCCGCGTTAGCGGCGTCGCGTTGACGACGCGGCAGAGCCGCCGCAAATCGAATTTGGAGAGAACCTTGAGGACGGCGATGTTAAGCCGGTTGAGATAGTGCATTGCGAGCTCGCCAACGTTCGAGCCGGCGATGATCACTTTCACCCCAGAGTCTGCGATCTCTTTCAGTACCTACGATAATACATTAACATCAATCGCGCCAATTCCGAATGGGCAGACGAACCTTTTCTAGCTGCTGCTCCTCGCCGCGGGTGAAGTTGAGCATCTCGTCCTTGTTGTGGATGAGGACCGTTCCTTTTGTCTCTGTTTGCGAAATGTCGACGCCACATGTGTAAACGGCTACCTTGGCTTTTTTGACGTTCTTGACGCTGCCTGCACATTTACGGCAAGCGAAGTCAAAATACTGACGGCGACAACCACATGCTGCAGTCATAACTCACCCTCAGGTTCCCGACCGAAGACCATACCCTGCACGACTCTGCTATTTGCTAGACTCCCTCCCATTATTTTGACCACGCGGACATTGTCCACGTTGAAGTTCTTGGGATTCGTGGGCATCACGACCATAGCGGCTTCTGCTACCAGTGATGAGAGTGTGTCTTCGTAGCCGTACTGCTTCGAGGCGATGGCGGGTTTGAGGGCGGTGGCAAGGGCGGATTGCGTGAAAGGGATGGGGAGACTGCTACATGACAGATCTGTGGTAGTCACACCGTCAGGAGTTGTGCCGAACACGGGCGTTCGTCATATTGAACGTACTTTCGAATTCTTCTAGCGACTTTGTGCACGCGAGTTCGTAGCCCCGGATGATCTCGCTCGGATGTAAGCCCATCACCAGGAGATGCTCGGCTTTCTTGAGCAGCTCCCCCGCGAGCATGATCACCATGTTCGTCGCATCGCCCATCTAGAATCCGTCAGCGGTGAACACTGCAGAGAGGTGGATAGATACACACCTCCTGCTCCTGTGCCTGCGACGCCATGACCACCAATTTTGCTGCGGGGTGCACCACCTCCATTTCACGCAGGATAGTAGCTGCATCGGACGTCACAAAAAGTTTGCCCAGATGATTAATGATCAGCTTGTTCCTGCCTGCGATCCATCAGCAACACCATCCGTCCTCGTTACCGAAGAGCACACACCGTTTGGACCAAAACTTGTCCGGACCAGATCAGACAGCTCCGATACAGCCTGGATGTTGCGCAGGACGGCATCCTCGATCCCTTGAAGGTGCTGGACGTGCGCATTAGTATCACTGGACTGAGCGCGCTGCCGAACCAACCTTGTAGCCGTCCTTAAAGAGCTGTATCTGGTTTGCCTTGGGGACCTTTAGCGACATCGTTGTATGCAGGCAAGACTTTTGTCGAGAAGTCCAAAGAATTCAAAATAGACGCGTCTGGCGCGTGTCCCCTATTCAGACTACAAGCGTGGTTCCCACGGTCACAGTCGCGACTATGGACCTCTCAAAGCTTGCTTGCATCACCTTGCATCTACATTACCACCTGTCCTTCGCGTGTCATCCGATTTCGGCGGCAACGAGGGCAGTATAGCTGAACTGGACGCCCTGTAATGGCCATCCAAATCCTCTGGAATGTTATCACGTCGATAATCCCCAAGGGCTACTACTGGCACGCGGCCTTGAGCGTGCTCGCGATCATCGTCGTGCACGCATTCACTCAAGGCCGTACGACGAACCGCGAACGGGACCTGCACGCTCGAGTGATCCTAGTCACCGTTAGTACCCAAGGCAGTTCCTGGTTCCTGTACTGAACGGACGCGAAGGGCGGCTTCACTCCACTAGGCCTGACGCTCTTGCAGGCACTCGCGCAACGCGGAGCCCATGTCATTGCGCTGTCGCCTGAGCCCGTCGATTCCTTCCAGACGGAGACTCTCATAGAGATACTGCGTTCTACAACAAAGAACGAACAAGTATATGCCGAAGAGTGCGACCTGTCCTCGCCGGCGTCCGTTCGGGCCTTCTGCACCCGTTTTCTGACCGGCCAGGAGACCCGGCTGGACGCTGTCATCTTCGCACACGAGTACAAACATGTAGGGCCCTTGTTTACCACTAAGAGCGCTGCAGAGGCTTTGGAACACCAACGGCAGTCTGGTTCAATGGCAACGTTCCTGATGACGACCCTCCTGCTGCCATGTCTGCTTACCGCTCCAGTCGAACGCGACATCCGAATAGTCAACGTAGTGAACCCGTTCTACGCAGCTGCTGCACCTATCTTCTCGCCGTCTGTTATTTCCCCGCCATCTCCATCGATTTTCTTACGTGAAGGCTGGCGCGCCCTGCGCATGATCATTTTGACGCGCCACCTGCAGCGCGTGCTGGATGCGCTCCCCTCGGGTGCGCAGGTGCCGACGACAGACGAGAGCAGTGCGGTCCCGGTCGTCAGCGACAAGCTGCAGCGTTCAAATATTGTCTCTGTATCTGTTTCGCCTGGATTCAGCAGAACAGATACTGTTGCGGGTTTTCTCGGCGCTGATGGGTCGTCGAATCGTTCCACTTTTGGCCTTGTTCTGTATGTTTATCTTTGCTGTAAATGTGAACGTCTCTCACAGCTAGATGCGCAGATACATATTGCTCCAGCCGCTTTTGCGCCTTCTCACCAAATCCCCAACATCAGCGATGCAGACCATCCTGCACGCGCTATTCCTCCCAACACCATACAAAGAACGCGCGTCAGATGCGCGCCCGGAAGAAGTCCTGAAACCAGGCGCGCTGTACTCCGAGTGCGCGGTGGTGACGCTGCGCGTGCCGCCCTTGCCGGATTCCGAGAGGGAGAGGCTAGGACTGAAGAGTGATGGTGAGAAGGCAGTCGAGGATGATGGGGAGCTGGGCGGGCAAGATGTAGGGAGGATCGTATGGGAGGGATTCGAAGAGGCTTTGAAGCGCTGGGAGGCGAGCGCGCCAAAGGAAGACAAGTCTGGGAGGAGTACCCCGCCGGCTGTGGATACCCCTACCTCGTGAGGTACAGATGATCTGGTCTACCTGAGGACATTTTCATCCTATACCCCTCATTTGTGATACCGCGCAACAGCGTACAGACTATGCGCATCTAAGTGGATCATTATATTGAACATAATCTAATCTAATTACAGCGTGGTGCCGGAGCATAGAGAATGTTACGGCGAAGAGAACCAAACACAGCCTTTACTATTCACAGTCTTTCCGACCCGCTGCTCCCGAGGATGCTCGTCCCAGACCAGCTCGTCCTGCGCTCTGGCCCGTCCAACAGCGTCTCCAGTGCCACCTTCGGCTTGAGCACCAGCATGCTCCTCAATTCACTCCGAGAGCCCCGACGCTGCCTCCCGGCTGCCTTCACCTTCTTGCGCAGCCCCAAGCCCGTCGTGCATAACACTCGAATAACAGTCGGCTCGTCCAGGGCTCGATGATCCCCCGGACTTCCATCGATACCTTTCCCATCCATGTCCTCCATCCACACGGGGTTAAACGCGACGTTCGGCCGCGTCCACACCGGCTCATAGTCGCAATTGAGCGCGTCGACCCCGACGAGCCTGTTCAATCCCAGCGCGAGGCGCACGAGGTTGTCCAGCCTGTCGCCGTACACGTTGGTGATCATCTCGTGCACCTGCGGCTCCTTGTATGAGTTACAGCCCGCGACGAGGAGGACGTCCACGAGGCGCTTGACGAGGTACGTGATTAGGGGCGGCTTGGCGGAGTCGTGCGGTGACTCCCCGTGCCGGAGAGCTTGGATGTGCTTGCGCGCAACGCTGCGCCATCTCCCTGACACGGCTTGCGTCTCTATTCGAGTGCTCATCAGTAAAGCGTATCGTAACGAACGCGAAGCGAGGACCCACCCGACTGTCGTATATGGTCGTATATATCCTGGAGCAGCTTGCCTTCCTTGGGCAGGTCGACGTCGAAGTGCCAGGCCGCGACGATCCACGCGCATTGCAGCACCATGCAGCCCTGGAATGCGATCTGTATAATAACCGCCGCATCCTCCCTCTGCGGGCAGTCCTTCAGCTGCTGCACGACGGAAGAGCCGAGCATCTCCTTCACGCGGCTCGTCGCCTTATCCGAGGGCGTCCGATCTTCGTCCGGGGTCTTGTGTTTGCTTTCGTACTGGAGCGCATCAGCCAGTGCGATGGCGGTTTCTAGGATGTTCTGGTTGAGATTGTGGATCGCTCTGAGGACTTCGTCTTCTGGCGTGATGTCCACCCTTTCGAGGTAGGCCTGAGCTGCTTCGAGCTCCACTGTCTTGTTCTGCAGTAATGCGAGAGCTTTCGCGTGTGATGCTGACATGCTAGCATTGTTACGCTGATGCTCAGCCAGTGCGCCATCCTGCGTAGCACTGGAGTGAGACCCAGGGAATGCAACGGTTATGGGAACTCACTTTGACTTTCACTAACTGGTTGGCTACTTCCAACTGTTGCTCGAGCACATGTGTTCTGTTGCGCGCTGCCTCAGCGTCCCGCCGGAACAGATCGCGTTGGTGCTCGGACGCCGTTAACTGGTCCCTCAGTAAGTTCATATATCTCTTTACCTCCACGACCTCTCTTTCTCTGGCATGTGCATCACGGATACCACTATCGCGTTCCAGCGCCAACGCCCTGAGCTTCTCCCGGAGAGTCTCGCACTGCTCTCGCAACTCTGCTAGCTCCGTCTCCAGCGCCAGCTCCTTCCCAGCCAATCCTACTTGTATGCCTCCGACCTTGGGTTTTTCCCGTATGACTTCATGATCAGGGAGAGGCTCGACGGAGAGGAGTGTGTAACTGGGGGTAGCTGGCGTGCTCTTCGAGTTCGAAGCGCCCGCTTTCGCGCGCTTCGACTTGCCTCGGCGGAGGAGAAACATAGCGGAGGAATGGGCAGGTTCAAGGGAGTATGGCTGTGGCTAGTCATGCCATGGCGCATACAGTGCGTGGTACTGCGACTAAAGCTCCGGACTACAGTCATCCTTGAGCCTCATTGTGGTCGCTGATTCTGGAACGCTTTGAGCCCCTATCGCTCGTCAAATATAACACACCTTTCCGCCATGCCGCAGCTGATCTTCGTTCGAGCTATCGGGATATGGCTGTGGATATGAGATATGAAGGAAGGCTCGAGATGGCCGGAAGCGGTGGAACTTAGAATAGTGATAGGGCGCTTCCAAGCCTGAACAAATGTAGCATTGTATTGAGTGGTCCCTCTGAAATAAATACTAGTCTTAAATGCCCGTCAGTTCCTTCAAATATTCTGCCGAAGGGTCGTTTTGCATGAGCAAATGGGAGTAGAGCACGCTGACAAGTACCTCGTGTCAACTCGAACGCTGCAAAGGTGCTTGCCGCCGCGGGTATACTACGCAGGCATACGTCAGAATCAAGTCGGCGATAGTTCAGACTGACGTACCTTCTTATGACTGAATACAGCAGTATACAAAGCAACGAGACGTCAGAGGAATGACCGCATTCAGACAGCATACATCACGCACGAGATGGTGTTAACCCCCTGTACAGCCCCGCACTTTATAGCATGTGTCAGTGAACATGGCGTACAAAGATGAAAAGAAGTACGGCGCACAATCCGGATTCACCAAGGATGGCTCTGAACTCTGCGTTAATGTACTGGAATGGGTTACCAGTCGGGGGGATAGGGCGAAGCTGAACGCGGGATTTGATGACATCTTACGCAAGAGCGTCATAAGCCCTCCTGAGGAGTCTGAATATACTTAGCGGGACTTCACCTAGCGGATAACATGCAAGCCAATATGCAATCTATCACATGGTTGATATTGTAGCAGCCGAACGCAATACATGGCTTGACGGCACTTACCCCTCCCGTAGCACCGCTGGTCAACAGGGCCCAGATGGGCAACTGCTGCTGACCGTATCTCTGCGCGAACTTGCGTTTCGAGAACTCAAAAGCTGACGGGAGGTGAGTTGGTCAATACCATCAGTGGACACACTCAATTTCGTACCAGAATAGAAGCTGTACGTCCATTAGCTGGCATAAATCTCATGAAGTCGGCCGAACTGAGAGTTGGGGTAGACATACCCCGCATATGCAGGAATCTCCCGAGCCACGGTTACCTTTGATCAGTCACTTAGGTCGATGGCTTGGAAGGATATGCGATATTGTATACCCAATATCCTCGCATGATGCCCTGTCTGAAGCCCCACTCCTTCCACATTTCACGAGCGATGACACTCAGGCGTTTGTCAGAAGGGGAGCCGTACTGGCCCTGCATTCGGACCTTCAACATCTCCACTGTTCCGGAGGTAAGTTTGAGACGTCGCCTAGTGTAGCTGGCGGCACTACAAACCTGGGCTGGCTAATATGGCATTTGCTGCGCCTGCCATCGCTCCGGCGAGGGCGATCTGCTTCAAGGAGAGGTCAGGAAAGGGAGAGACGATACGCTTGGATGCGCCATATGCAGCGAATAATAACGAGTTGACGCCGGCTATGCCAATCAGTGGGCTGAGCATGCCTTCCGCCCAGTCAGAATATAGGACATTATTTCGTGTGATATGAGACAACCTTTGTATAGTGCGAGAATACCCTCTTTCCGTACGGTCTGTACTAGGATATCCATGGGTCCTTTCTGACCGCCAGTTAGAGTGGGAATGTTGGTGTAATGGATAATTCGAAGCTCACAAACATTCCCTCTGGCAAAATCGGATAGAACAGAAATCATGTTCAGTCCTGCATGCTAATGCTAACGTGCACCGTACTAGGGGCTATCTGTGCACGAGTCTTGATCGTGTCCAGAGGTTGTCCAACTATCACTTGCGCTGCACCTGCTACGCTGCCGGCAGCCAGCTCGTTAACAGTTTCCAGGGAGGCCATGTTCACAGTCGAAACAGAGCAAGGGAAACGCGTGATACTGGTATGAATTGTCACCCGGAATCGCATACCATCACGTGTCGTACATGGCCACACCGCCGCCGTGCTCTCCGTCCGCCGCTGTTGACCGCTGCCCGCCGACGACGAGCACGACTATACCACTTATATGCAGTTGTAGAAATACATAGTAACTTTGTAAAAATCCACTACATTCGTATGCTCGACTTTATGCGTCTACGCTGTCGTTGCGACCCTTCTATCGGCCATTATCGTCGCCGTGAACCTCAGGCTCACTGTTCTCAACAACGGCGGCGCTGACGCCCACACTGAGACTCAGAAACATATAGTATACTCACATTATGTTATTTGCATCTATTGTGTCGCATGTGAAGTCCCTTATACGCTTACAGAAGGTCTGTACATGCACACACCCACCTGCATCTTAGTGTACATCGCACGAAATAAACATTAGTGGCAGTAGGGAACCCTACCCGGAGCCAGATCCTTGAATAGAACCATTTATACGGTCGCATATTAGGTGTCTAGCGTGAAGGTATGGCAAAGCAACACTCCTAACTTAAGTTCAGTGCTTGGGCATAGCGACCTGGTACAGAAAGCAAGTCAACGGAAAGAAAGAGCGGCGCACAGTGGGGGAACCGCGGGGGAAAGACTACGAAGGGATAGGAACAGAGTTGACGTACATAGCAGCTGTAAAACTTAAAACCGCAATCACATTAACAATTAGTACACACCTTCATACATATAATGCTCTGAATATTATCTCAAGCCGCTTCACAGTACTCGGATTCGTCAAGGATCCAATAGAGTCTGGGTTGCACGGAGAAAAGCATCCGTACAAGTTGCAAGAACCACGCTGCTGGCCGCGACAACTGGGTGTAGCTTGCGAAGTATACTGTATAGCCTGAGATTCATCATGACAACGTATACGCCCATACCAGGGGAAGACAAGGCAAAGTCGAGGCTTACTTACCTACAACCAGTGGCTGAGCGCTGAGCTCCCGGCCCTTGTCGAGCGCATTGATCGCTGTATCCAAGCCTGAAATATTGCGAGATTGTTTCGAAGTACGTATGAGGTGCTGCATAAACGATATCCGAATGAGTCGACGCCAAGGGATAGCTGGCATAAGGACGAAAGCAAGTGCAGGGGTGATGTAGCGCAGCCGTCACGGACGCGAATTCGCCTCAGCACTGTCACTTCTCATCTACATGCCTTTACTCAACTCTAATATCTGGTCTTTGACGACGGATCTCTCTCGCTTATGAGAGTTCTCTAGCCTGTATTGCGCCGTCTCATAGGCCTACAGATGCCTGCTGTCAGGGGATAGGCTAGGCGTCACGATGGCAAGTATCGTGATAGTGCAGCTTGACCTATGCATCGTGAGTCTTCTGTTCTTCATTTCCTTGCCTTCTCTTCGATACCTACCGGGGTCTTTGCTTGTAACTTGGTTATTCATCGTTGATTATTCGTCGTTTTCTCTTCCTCATCTATCACCTCGTGTAGGTCATCTTTAATGGTTTGTCAGGATTGTTGCTGTCCACTTCCTACATATACTCTCACATCTCACATTCTATGGGCTCTGCTGACATTTCCACAATTCTACCACCACTGTAAAGCACTGCGACACCCCCCGATCCTCCCCCTATCGAACGATAATCATGCGGGGAGTAGTGACCCTTCCGCTACATCCTCCCTCCCTCCCTCTACTTTCGGGCAGACGGTTTCACTCGTGTTCTTCACGGAAACATGGAGGCCGGACAGCTTCTACGATCACATAAAAGAGAACGTCGACTTGGGCATGCACACGCTCGTGCTGCTCGATATCAAAGTCAAGGAACAGAGCGAAGAGAACCTGGCGCGGTTAGTAATCTGATGTTCAATGCCACGACCGTTATTCACTCTGTTTCTCCCTTGTATGTAGAGGGAGAAAGATATACGAGCCGCCCCGATACATGTCCATCCCGCAAGCCGTGTCTCAACTCATCGAAGTCGAAGAAAAACGTCAGGCTGGCATTCTATCCCCGGAAACCACCCTAGCGGTTGCAGTCTCGCGCGTCGGTGGTGGACCGGGGAACGAGCGCATCGTCGCTGGCACATTGTCTGAGCTTAGCGCACAGCCCGCAGAGGCCTTTGGGGAGCCGCTGCATAGCCTGGTTATCGTCGGGAAGCGGGTGCATCCGCTGGAAATCGAGTATGCGCAGGAGTTCGCGG